GAATAGAATTGTCTTCCAAGATTGTTGTACTGGCGGTGGGTCTGTAGGTGACTGTGGAGCCCTATTCTTGATCTGCATCTTCTCCTGCAGAGAGGGCATTGGTTTCCAGGTGGAAGGCGGTCCCGTCGGGGTGGGTTTGACGCGCCTTCCTCTTGGCACATTTTTCTCTTTCACCCTCCATTCGTGCCTCTTCAAATTCTACAGCACTGCTGGTCACAGCTGACCTCCAGCTGGAGCGCTCAAGGGCCAGGGCTTCCCAGTTCTCAGTGTCTATGCCAGAGTTTTTAAGGTTGGCTTTCAACCCATCTTTAAATCTCTTTTCCAGCCCACCAACATTCCGTTTTCCGTTCTTGAGTTCGGAGTAGAGCAACTGCTTTGGGAGACGGTGGTTGGCCATCTAGACAACATGGCCAGTCCAGTGGAGTTGATGGTGGAGGAACATCGCTTCAATGCTGGTAGTCTTTGCTTCTTCCAGCACATTGACATTTGTCCACTTGTCTTCCCAAGAGATTTGCAGGCTTTTTTGGAGGCAACGCTGATGGAATCATTCTAGGATTTGCATGTGACGTCTGTTGACAGTCCATGTCTTGCAGGCATATAGCAGGGTTGGGAGGACAATAGCTTTATAAACAAGCACCCTGGTATCCCCATGGATGTCCTGGTCCTCAAACATTCTCTGCTTCATTTGGAAAAATGCTGCATTCACAGAGCTCAGGCGGTGTTGTATTTCAGTGTCAATGTTGACTTTTGCGGAGAGGTGGCTGCCAAGGTAGAGGAAATGGTCAACATTTTCTAATGTGACACCATTTGGCTTTTTCTCTGGCATTGGAGAGGGATTGGCTGGTGACTGCTGGAAGAGCACTTCGGTTTTCTCGATGTTCAGTGACAGGCCGAGCTTCTTGTATGCTTCTGCGAAGGGGTTTAAAGTGGAAGGAGGCCCATGGACCAGATTTTTGTCTTTACGGCTCACTGTTGGTTTTCAGCCTACAGGCTAAGAACCATTGCTAAGGGTATTCCTTTTTGTGCCCCCCCCCCCCCCGGTGTTATTTAGTGCAGTTGATGCCGTCTTAGAGACACCGATGGATTTCCACTTTACCAAGCGTTGTCATTTCTGATGAGTCATGTCTCATGCTATTTCCAAAGCCCTAAACTTAGGAGAGCTTGATCTAGTGTAGTTGTTACTGAGTTTGACAAGAACTGGGGGAGTCCATCGTCCAATTCTCCCCCAAGACGTGAGCCCGTCACTCTCTTTCAAACTACCGCTGCATCACAGGCTCCTTATGATGATTGGAGAAAGAAAGGACAGTGAGTGAATGCTTCTTGGAAGAAATGTGAGTGGAAATGTAATACGTGCATCAAACGCCTGTCAATTACTCCTGGTCCATGGCTCGATGAAGAAAGGCTACAGGGACTGATGTTTACTTTCTCTAACCTTTATAAAGAAAGAACGGATTGCATATTAAATATATATTTTGTGTGTTTCTTCTTCAAGCTTCAGTCATGAGGACAGAGAATGGGATTCACCCAGTTACCGGGAGCCCTTCAAAGTGTGTGTTTTGCTTAAGGCAGTACTTGGTCAATTCCTGAATCTTAATGGCTTTTATCTTTAAAAAGTGTATATTTTTAAAAGAGTCTTACATCTGTCAGTTTGTTTATTTCTGCGCATTTGTGCATTATTGACTTCCTGCACAGTCCCAACAGAGGAGGCCTAAGAAGGTTTATAATGTGCTTTACTACAGCTTCATTATTACCAAACAAATTCAGCTATCTTTAGATCTTCCTCTTTTCTCTTTTTTGCTTGGTTTAGAAAGTGGATGGTCAACAGTAACAGGGAAGACTGAGGGATTGAGACTAAACTAATGTCAACAACTGGTTTAAGTTGGGAATAGTTTCACTGTTGGGAATAAAGAGAACATTTTTAAAAGCGTTGTTGTTGTTCATTCGTTCAGTCGTTTCCAACTCTTCGTGACCTCATGAACCAGCCCACGCCAGAGCCCCCTGTCGGCCATCACCACCCCCGGCTCCTTCAAGGTCAATCCAGTCAATTCCTTTTTCCTTCCATTTTCCCCAGCATCATTGTTTTCTCTAAGCTTTCCTTTCTTCTCAAAGTACTTCATCTTTGGCCACGTTTAAAAGCTAGAATATTGAATATTGAAAAGGATATTACAGGTGAAGATGAAGTACTTTGGCCACATCTTGAGAAGACAGAAAAGCTTAGAAAAGACAATGATGCTGGAAAATGGAAGGAAAAGGGAAGATGGGCCGACCAAGGGCAAGATGGATGGATGGTATCCTTGAAGTGACTGGCTTGACTCTGAAGGAGCTGGGGGAAGTGATGCCCGACAAGGAGCTCTGGCGTGGGCTGGTCCATGGGGTCACGAAGAGTCGGAAGCAACTGAACAAATAAACAACAAAGAATATTGAGATATAATACCCCTGATGGTGCAGTGGGTTAAACCATTGAGCTGCTGAACTTGCTGACCAAAAGGTTGGAAGTTCATATCCAGGAAGTGGGGTGAGCTCTTGCTGTTAGGCCCAGCTTCTGCCAACCTAGCCGTTTGAAAACATGCAAATGTGAGTAGATCAATAGGTACTGCTTCTGCGGGAAGGTAAGGGCGCTCCATGCAGTCATGCTGGCCACATGACCTTGGAGATGTCTACAGACAATGCTGGCTCTTCAGCATAGAAATGGAGGCGAGCACCACCCCCCAGATTCAGATATGACTAGACTTAATGTTAGGGGGAATCTTTACCTTTTGAATACACAGTGATTATCCCTTATCCAAAATGCTTGGGACTAAGTGTTTCGCATTGTGTTTATTTTCCCCCCCAAATTTTGGAATACCTATATTTGCATAGGTACAGATGGTATCTAATGTCTAAACACAACATTAATTTACATTTCATATATATCTTATATACCTGGCCTGAAGATAATGTAAGGCAATATTTTTTTAATAATTTTATGTATGAAACAAAGTCTGCTTACACTGAACTGTCAGAAAGCAAAGGCATCACTATTTTAGCCACTTGTGTAAACAATTTTGGATTTTAGAGTATTTTGGAATTCCAGATAAAGGATGCCCAACCTGTAACTGGTTTCCATGTAATCTCATTTTTCTTTGCTGGGTTTTTATTATTGCAGTGTTAACAATGTCACAATGTTTTAGAAGACTCTAAAAGATATTACGGTAGTATTGCGTATGCAATACTGTATAATGAGTTTCCTCCAGTGAATGAGTCAGCAGCAGCTAGATACTCAAACTTCATGATTACATCTGGATAAGCATCATGAGAGTGACATAAGTCTGATTAACATTGGACAATGAATTATGAAACTGTTTCTGAAATAAGATGAAGTACATTTTAGATGAAAAGGATTCTGTGGCATCTTTCTCTCTTATTTCTAGAGTTTTTGAGAATGTGCATATCTTTTTGTAGGCAAAATAACACTAGCCACACATGCAAGAGATCAGCATGTTTAGAGGAACTCCAAGATTTGCTGGAGTAGATTTCAGAAGTTTAGGAACACTCTTTTTCACTTCTCTTCACTTAGGTAATCCCTCGTAGCTCAAGGATGATTGTCTTCCAGATGTAGTCTCTTGGGGGTGAGTCCGTAGGTGGCTATGGAGCACTTACTTTCTGGCTGTTTTAATAATCTAAAATATAAAACATAAAGATTGCACTCAGCCACAGAATATAAAAAAAAAACAGCAAACACTGTTGCAGGTTCAAGATATCTCCGTAATCACAAGGTCCAGTCCAGTGGTCAAACGCCAAGAGTTCAATAAACAAAGTCCAGGGATCAAGAGTCTATACCAAAGTCAAAAGCCAGTCCAAAGGGGTTCAAAGTTCCAGGATTCCAAAGGTTCAGGAGACAGGTTAGGACACCGAAAATCCACAGACCTGGGGGAAAACCAGCACCATCTACCACCAAAATAAAACAAATACTCTTTCCCCAAAGATCAGTCCCAAGGCTAGCTCCTTATATCCAGAAACACCCAGCTGCAACCCATCTCTTGCATACCTCCACCCTTAATTGCTTTCACCCATGAACTCTTACTTACAGATTACTCAACCCTTTAGAACTAAGACTTACATTAACCCTTCCATCACCAACCACCATCAACTGCAGAACATAATACATGACACTGGGTGGCGTGAGTACGTGACATGTGACGTCGATTTCTTGCCCTCCCCATAGCCTCCCGCGCTCGCCCAATGTCCTACTCGCAGGCACTGCCCATGTAGCAACAGATTCATGAAAATGAATAAAGGTTTAAAATTTAAATGCTTTGCAGACTATATTTTAGTTTTTGTGTACAACTGATGATCTACAGACCACTGAGTGGGAACAACTGATGTATGGTGACCTTTATGTTTAGCCCTTTGTTTACCAGAATCTCTTTTCTCATAAAGAGTATTAATAGCAATGGAAAATAAAGATTGGTTTTGTCAACTTTTACAGGAACCATCCTTGAATGATTGCTTTAATAAGTAGCAAGCCCATAACTCTCCCTTTCATTTCTTTGCTGCACATAATGTGGCTCCGGCACTTCCTAGTAGCTATATCATTTCTTATCGTCAGGTTATTACACAAAGAACAATGCCCAGTATTTGAACAACTTTCAGTTTACAAAATAATGGTCTGATCTAGAGATTTTCATTAATGAAAGGCAGCCACAGTACCTTTACTGTATTATCTACAAGAATACATTTGAAATTGTGTCTAACAGTTGCAAAGAAATGCCTGCCACTGAGTAGATGCAGCCTTGAGATTCCAAACTGTACTGCCAATGAATATAGCCTAATCCACCCTGGTTGTGGATGATAGGAGTAGTCAATCAACACTTCAGGCGAGTGTCAATTTAAAGAATCATGGTTTAATGTAGCTTTTTCCACCCTGGTTATGGATAATAGGAAGGTGGATCAGCACTTTTGGAGGGTGCCAATTTAAAGAAGTATGATTTAATAGATGCTGCATGTTATTTCCTTTACAGGTCCAACAGACTAGAACTATATCTTGCTCAAAACCAACACCGGGTGTGACCCTTCTGCTACACCTTGCAGATCCTCAAAAATGAATTTGGAAGGCATAGCTTCTTACAGTCATTGCAATGGAAAATCAGTGTGGTGGTGAGACAGTGATACGGCAAACAGCTACAGCAGCCTGTCCATCATCCTTTGTTAACCTGCTGAAAGTCCACAGAGAACTATTAGTTAGCAAAGTTCGTAATACTCAGTGTTTGATAGACAACTTACTCAAGAACGAGTATTTCTCAACCGAAGATGCAGAGATTGCTGCACAGTATCCAACCCAAGCTGACAAGGTATTTGTGTCTTTTTTGACTTCAGGCCTGTCCTCAAAAGTGTACTGGTTGACTTAATGTGATGGAGTGTAGTGTAATGGTTTAAGGGCTGAACTATGGAATGAGAAGTATTTTGTTTCAATCTTGCTTCAGCAATGAATTCACATGGTGACCTTAGGACCATGGTGTCCTCTCTGTGATCTCTCTCATATTTCTCAATTTACCATTTTAATTGCCATTTCCACATTCTGCAGAACACCAGGATTGGTTGTTGATTGATTTGTTGGGTTGTTGTAGGTTTTTTCGGGTTATATGGCCAAGTTCTAGAGGCATTCTCTCCTGACGTTTCACCTGCATCTATGGCAAGCATCCTCAGAGGTAGTGAGGACCTCACTACCTCTGAGGATGCTTGCCATAGATGCAGGCGAAACGTCAGGAGAGAATGCCTCTAGAACATGGCCATATAGCCCAAAAAACCCTACAATGACCCAATTATTCCAGTCATGAATGCCTCCAACAATACATGTTTATTTGTTGTTGGTTGTGGCAAAAAGCAAAGGCAGTGTGGCAGTTGAGTATTAGAAAAACAAAAATAGCAGCCACAGAAAATGTAAATTACTTTAAAGTGGATGATGGAGATATTTAATTAGTAAAGATTTTCTAATACTTGCCTCAGACATTAATAATATAATACTAATAACTTTATTTTTGTACCCCGCCTCCATCTCTCTGGAGGGACTCAGGGCAGCTTACATGGGGACCAAGCCCATTGAACATAGTTAAAATATAACACATTAAAATACATAAACAGTTTAAACAGAATACATCAACAACATTATAACAAAATATAAGCGCAAGCATCAAGCATTAACCAACATAGTATGAAAAATTTGAAAAACAGCCATGGAAGAGCAGCAGTGAAGGAACTAGATAAGATTCCTGTAGTTTAACAATATATCATTGAATACAAAGGTCAGGATTATCCATACCATACTATTTTTGATTTTCATACCATACTATTTTTGATTTCTTTGTACAAACATGTAAGATAAACAGTGAAGAAATCTGATACTAAAAAATCAACTCCTTTGAAATATTATTATCCAAAATTGCAAATATTATTGATCTCCAAAAAGTCATACATAGTGTATGGGCCCAAAAGGAAAATCAATGCGAACTCTCACTAGAAGCCAGAGTCACTAAACAAAGGCTTTTGTATTAAGTCAAAGCTGACTTGAAAGCATATAATAATAATAACAACATATGGATTTCTATTCACACAACGAATGGGGAGGCTGAATTTCAGTAGATAACTTTCTCTTAGAGTCCTCCTCTTAGCCTTGAGGGTTGATTCTTTCACAAACTGAAATGTGTCCTTCTTATGCTGTTTCTCCAGTATTGTTAGTTTTGAGCTAAGCTTTAACTGATTGCCTTGATGAACCAGTTAGGCAACATTTGGATATTCAGTCCTCCATGGTTTTCAGCCAAAGAATTGGTGGACCGAGGAATACTTTAGGACACAGATTCTTCAGGCACTGAATGACTTCTATTGTTTTTATGGAAATGCATTTATATATTTTCAGCTGTTGTTCAGAAAAGCTTCAAAATTAATAGTGACTTGCTGACCACTTTTAACAGTGTTTTTATTGATACCGTGGAAAGCTGGGCAGCTTAATGTAGCTGTATTCGTTTTTTCATTCCTTAGGCACACTCATATTTCACCTTTCCTCCACTGAGTGCAAGCCAATATACATGGCTTTTACCTTTACATTTTATTTGTCCTACAACAATGAACGTAGTATGTCAGGCTAGTAGGATCAAGGTCACATACTAAATTTCAAGATTCATTGTGTACTTCGATCTCCCATGTCTTGCTCCAGTATCACCCTGGTGCTCACAGTAACCATATTACTAGATATAATTGTCTTGAACCGTACTTATACAGTAGAGTCACTTTACATGTTACTTTTTGGAGACGTGAAATGTGTAGAAAGAGGCCATGAGATCTGTTTGTTACCTCATACTGAGCAACTCGTCTGGTATCTGTGGTTGTGTAGGCATGTTAAGGTATCGAGGTCTTCCCATGTTGGCCTTCATCTACAGGGGAACCCCCCCCCCCACACACACACACACACAGTTATGATTATATAAATCATGGGGACTTCTATGTGCAGTGGTGTGCACAAGAAGATTTCATTTCAGATATCAATAGCTCAGATGTCCATACAAGCAAGTGGACAGTGTGGTCCAGAGACATCATTGGAGTGAGGACTAGAGGTGAGGGCCACCAACCCCTTTTAACACATATTCCATCTTTACACAAAACACATGAGAAGTGAATCTTGCACAGATTAGTGAGCACCATCTCATGTCGCTTGAGCCTTGCCTTGTGTAATACTTAAAGAGAACACACCTAAACATCATGTTCATTTAATTGTCAGCAGAAGACATCAAAATTATTGTGGGACTGGAGCAACTCCCCTACGGGGAAATAATACAGTCAGTCCTCCACGTGTATGGGTTAGACCTTTGAAGATTTCATTAATATGTTATCTCTAGGACCTCGCGTATGACTCTGAAAGTTGACCATAGAATTGCTTTGAAGAATTGCATAGATATTTGTGTTGGCAGGGAGATGCGTATATCAGGGGGGATTATGATATAACAAAATTATGTAACAAAACCAGTAGTTAAAATTACAAAAAGCTGTATTTAAGAGAACTACATAGCTGATAAAAAAGAGACTAGAATCCTTCCTGTAGCTAGGCTAAGGTCACTCTGTTAGAACAAAGGGCGTGCAAAATCCCAGAAAGGGGGCTGGAAACTTGAGAAAAGGATGTGATTCTAAGAGTATCAGCCTAAACATCAAAGACGAGGCAGGAGAAATAACTTGGGTGGCGGAGAGTAAGTCAGGAATGGGCATCCCTAAAAAAATTACCAAACCCTATCTACTGATCTATCCATTTCTCATCATGAGAAATGGATTTTACTTGTGTAGCGCATTGTTGAAATCCAGTGATTTGTAGGTCCTCCATTATGATTTGGTGGTCAACCTCTGGCAAAAGGTGACCATGTAGTCATGTTGGAGGTCTTAGAACATCCTCATGAGGTATTCCCTCAGGGAAAAAAATAGGATTTTTTAAATTCACATTTTCCCCACTTTCTCAGGGTCCTTGCACTTCTAACCCCTGCAAAAGTGGAGGTCCTACTGTACAACATTTGGGTCTGTTGGCTTAGGAGAGAACAGCAAATAAGGAAATATTGGATAAAAATGTATCAAAGTATGCATTCAGTACAGCGTAGTTCAATCATTCTGCAAACTAAGTAGAAATAGGAGATATTTTACAGAAAATTGGATGGCATTCTAAGTATTAAACTACTCACAGCCTCGATCTATCTGTGACATTTTGTGTGACCTTTTCTCAGGTTCGTAAAATTTTGGATCTAGCTCAGAGCAAAGGAGAAGAAGTTGCAGAATATTGCATCTATGTCCTGCAGCAAGTCGCTGATGCTTATTATGATTTGCATCCATGGTTGGAAGAGATTGGATTTCATCCTTCAGAGGTCATTAGTAATAAACCTGTGGAAAATACTGATCCAGGTACAATCCCAGCTTTGAAATTGTCTTATTCTTTGTGAAAAACAGTTGTTCCTTCCTTTAATGTTAATGAAAAACATTTTCCATAAGAAATGACCAATAAGGACTCACAGCATGTTTTCCTCACAATGTATCCAAAACTTGGAAAAGTTAGTTTATTGACTAGAGTTTCATGGTCTGTGGTTATTAGGGGATTAGATACCACCAGAAGTAAAGTGATATGTGTATCACCATTATCTATGATATCTAAATACAGTACCATGATATCCAGATATATTATTTAAAAAAAATATCAGTGGTGTTTTGGTGTTTTTTTCCTGTAGTCACAGGTAACTAGTAAAATAGTATTTCCTAATGTGGTGCCCTCAAGATGTTTTTGACTACAAGTCCCACTATTCTTTATTTTTAATCATTCTGGCTGGAGTTGATGAAGATTGCAGGTCCAGAACATTTGGAGGGCACCAAGCTGGGAAAGGTTTTACTGAAACGGCAGTGCAAGGATGAAAGGTGTAAATGAATTATCTGCATTATGTGTAATGATTATGCCTGCTTTATTCTTAGAGCAATTCCATATAATTTCAGATTCCAATGAATTTAGAATGCTATAAATCATTGCAGTTGGAGCAACATATTGGAAATCAACAGCTAATGTCAGCTTTCCATTATGTTTGCAGAATCATGAACATGTGTGGGTAGGATTATTACATACTGCAGGCTATTTGAGTGAATCACATTGGCTGGTATCCTGTTAGGGACAATTGCATACATAAGTTAGTTTTTTCTTATCTATTCAGAAGTCCTTTGTTCAAGTATTGTGGAGGTTGGTTTTCTCTTCCTCCCTATTTGAAGCCCTCACCATGCACATGATGAAAAGCCTATGATTTTCTGGCGTTCTTAGAGTGATGTCTCATTTTGCATTTAAGTATAGGAAGATTACCAGACATGCCTGCAATTTTCCCTGCTCTCACTGAACAGAGGTGACTGTGCAGAATATCTTTAGGGGTTCACGTGATATGGATCAATCTGGCATAGGTCCACATACACATCTTTATGCTACAGCCAATGGTTCTCAACCTGTGTGTACTTGGGTATTTTGGCCTAAAACTCCCAGAAATCCCAGCCAGTTTACCAGCTGTTAGGATTTCTGGGAGTTGAAGGCCAAAACATTCTTCCAACTAAGTTGCACATATTAAAGCCCAGAAATCAGGTGTAAATGATGGGTAGCCAAAGCGCAATCTCTCACCAAAGGTTACCAACAAAGGGAACAAGTTCATCTTTTATTAATTTCTGTGGTGATGAACTGTTTTGGTAAAAAGGAGAATGGGCATTCAACATTTTCCTGCCACTTAGCTTACAAGTAAAACAGGCCATATTAATATTTTGGCAGTTGGATAGACATAATTTATAATTATGTGTCATCATCTTAGATATTATGCTTTGCTTTTGCCTGTATGTTGGCATTGAATCTTGCCATTACTTGATGTACACCACTTTGAGTCCTCCTAGGGGTGAAAAAAGTGGTATATAAATGCAGCAAACAAACAAACAAATAATTTGGGGACCCACATGTTGAGAACTACTGTGCTACATGGAGTGGATGCTGGATTTCAGCAATTTTCTGAGATCTACTTTAGACATGCCAAGAATATTCATTTCTTTTAAACTTGTGAGGTTTTTTCCTTCTGCCCAAGTGAAACATTTACTCTGAATTTATCTGAAAAACAAAATTTATGTTTCTCTTTGAGAAACAAGGCCTAAAGCTCGCTTTGTTGTTGTTGTTCATTCGTTCAGTCATTTCCGACTCTTCGTGACCTCATGGACCAGCCCACGCCAGAGCTCCCTGTCGGCCGTCACCACCCCCAGCTCCTTCAAGGTCAGTCCAGTCACTTCAAGGATGCCATCCATCCATCTTGCCCTTGGTCGACCCCTCTTCCTTTTGCCTTCCACTTTCCCCAGCATAATTGTCTTCTCTAGGCCTTGCTGTCTCCTCATGCTTTGGGTGCCAGCTATTAATTTTGTATTAATTTTATGCTGTTCATAGTGGTCATAGTCTTTCTGGCAGCTCACTACAGTGTTATAGTTGTTGTCGTTATTTAAATAAACCTATATCCTAACTTTCCTTGAGTGAACTCAAAGTGGTATACATAGTTTTCTTCTTTCCCACTTAGTCCTCACAAAAATACTTGAAAAGTCACTTCGGTTGAGAAAGAGTCCCAAGACACTCAGTAATTTTCTCAGCTCATTAGGAACATAATCCTGGATCTTCCAGGTTCCAGCCACCATACTGAATGCCTGCACTCTAATTTTACACTAATATTTCTTTTAGTAATGCTAAGTTTTATCTTAGTCAGCAGGTATCATCAGAAACTTAGAGATGAATTGGGCCGAGACACAAAGTTCATCGTGTCATATACCCAAAAGGAGGACATGCTGCTTGAAGAAACTTATTCAGCCAACATTATGGAGTTTATCAAGCACAACAATGAGAAATTTGGTGACGTGAATGCCCTGGAAGACCTTCTTAGTGACAGCGTTGGCCTAATTAATGAAAATGGAGAGACCATCTACATCTTTGGGGATGCAGGGATTGGAAAATCTATGTTGTTGCAAAAGATGCAAAATCTATGGTCCAAGGGTGAATTCAGTGTTGGGGCCAAATTCTTTTTCCGTTTCCGATGCAGAACGTTCAGCTGTTTCAAGCATGATGACGCTATCTGTTTGAAAGATCTCCTATTTAAATACAATTGTTTTCCTGACCAGGACCCAGAGGAGGTCTTTGACTTCATTGTGAAATTTCCTCACACCGTCTTGTTTACTTTTGATGGCTTTGATGAGATCCATTCAGACTTCGATCTCAACAGCATTCCTGAGACCTGTTCCCCCAGTGAATCCATTCACCCACTTGCTTTGCTGGTAGGCCTTCTCACTGGGAAGCTTCTGAAGGGTTCCAGGAAAGTCCTGACAGCAAGAACAGGGACTGAAATTGACAAAAACATTATCAGGAAGAAGGTGCATCTCCGAGGGTTTTCCACCAGCAACCTGAAAGAGTATACCAGAATGTTCTTCAAAGATGAAGGATGCCGGACTATGGTTCTCAACCAGCTGGAAGCAAACCCAAATCTCTGCAGTTTATGCTCAGTGCCTTTATTTTGCTGGATTATCTTCAAATGCTTTGACCATTTTCACTTCACATTTGACAGCCATGAGCTCCCAGACATCAAAGTTACTTTAACAGACATTTTCTTGCTCATGACTGAGGTCCACTTGAACCGGACTCAGAAAACGAATTTGCTGAAGAAGAACACAAGGAGCCAAGTGGAGACATACAGGAACAGCAAAAACATTTTGTTTGCTCTGAGTAAATTAGCACACAGGGGAATGCAGAAGTCTCTCTTTGTGTTTGACCAGGATGAAGTTCTCAATGATCTCTCTGAACAGGATTTACACTTGGGTTTCCTCAGGATGGTTCTGGATTACGGAAGCTGCAGTGACCAATCTTCTTATGAATTCTTGCACTTGACCTTGCAGTCCTTTTTTACAGCTTTGTTTCTGGTCATGGAGGAGAAAGTGGGTGCAAAGGAGTTGCTGCATTTCTTTGCAGAATGCTCTACTCTTGATACCTCTCTGTCCAACTGCTTACCAATCGCCTGGTTGAAAAATCATCGTGCGACCGGAGAGGATCCTTTCCGGAATAATGAGCACTTCCATTTCACCAACCTCTTCCTTTGTGGCTTGCTTTCCAAGGGACAGCACAAACTGATGAGACACCTGGTTCCATCGTCCACCATTAAAAAGAAAAGGAAGGTGCTCCTTGCTTATTTCTCTGAAAGCATGAAGTCCCACCTCAAGAGCCTCATCCGAGCAAGGCTGAAGGAATATAAGCAGCTTCAAGTCAGGCCCAATTTTGTGTGGATGCTGAGGTGTATCTACGAGACGCAGAGTGAGAAGGTTGGCAAAGGAGTTGCTAAGAACATGCGGGCCAACTACCTCAAGCTGACCTACTGCAACGCCTATTCTGCTGACTGCAGTGCTCTCTCTTTTATCCTGCATCATTTCCAGAAGCACCTGGCCCTTGACTTGGACAATAACAACATCAACGATTATGGAATAAAGCAACTTTTCCCTTGTTTTAGCAAGTTAACAGTACTGCGGTAAGTTTTTGGACTTTGCACTTGCCTCTTTCTTTTATGCAGCTAGTCTACTATGCCTTTTGAAAGCAGGCAAGGGCTTCAGTGCTTTCTCCTCTTCTCTTGAGCACCTACCTTGTGAGGAGACTTCCTGATTTGTGAAGTCACCATTTCCTGCAGTATCCTCACCAGGAAACTAAGCATCGTCTATGATGCTGGTTCGCAACCACAGTTTGGACTTCATTGGAAATTGTGCATTAGGGAACTGAAATGGGCTTAAGTTCAAAGGGAGTACACAGGTGCATTGTTTTCTTCCTGTTCCAAGAAAGTACTGTTTTTTATATACGAGTTGCATCATTAAAGGTAGGAGCCCCCGGTGGCGCAGTGGGTTAAACCCCTATGCCGGCAGGACTGAAGACGGACAGGTCGCAGGTTGGAATCCAGGGAGAGGCGGATGAGCTCCCTCTATCAGCTCCAGCTCCTCATGCGGGGACACAAGAGAAGCCTCCCACAAGGATGATAAAAACATCAAATCATCCGGGCTTCCCCTGGGCAACGTCCTTGCAGACGGCCAATTCTCTCACACCAGAAGTGACTTGCAGTTTCTCAAGTTGCTCCTGACACAACAAAATAAATAAATAAATAAATAAATAAATAAATAAAGGTAAATAGGGCAATTGTATAACCTGACTATTGTGATTGTAAATAGGGATGTGAATGTTCTGCCCTTGCAGTGTAAATCTACATTAAAACTAAAGTGTGTGTAAAGGACAGCTGAATTCTGTATCTAGATTTTTTTTCTCTTTTTTCTGCTTTGGAGAATGTGTTTTGTTTCTTTTATGGGGAGAAGCAAGGAGTCATATAAAACACGAGGATCACAATCCCTGAGAATTTAGAATCCAGTGGACTCTGAAAATTTCTTTCCTTGAAATTTCAGTAGGAACTTCTAAGGTGAGAACTAGAATCATGGTCTTTTTTTTACATTACATCAAAACTAATATCTTTAAGATGCTGCTGAATTCTGAAAGAAGTAAGAGATGTTGATACTTTTCTGGCACTTGAAAAGAATTTCAGGTTGTGTATAGTTTTACTTGGAAACTTTTGAATGCCATGTCCATGCTAGAATTCAGCTCAAAAGTATTATTTGGGAAGATGGAGGATACATTAGACACAGTGGGTTAAGCTGCTGAGCTGCTGAACTTGCTGACCGAAAGGTTGGCATTTCGAATCCGGGGAGCAAGGTAAGCTCCCTCTGTTAGGCCCAGCTTCTGCCAACATATCAGTTCAAAAACATGCAAACGTGGGTAGATCAATAGGTACTGCTCTGGCGGGAAGGTAATGGTGCTCCTTGCAGTCATGCTGGCCATATAACCATGGAGGTGTCTACGGACAACGCTGGCTCTTTGGCTTAGAAATGGAGATGAGCACCCACCCCCCCAGAGTTGGACACGACTAGACTTAGTGTCAAGGGGAAACCTTTACCTTTACCTAAGGCAATACGAGTCCATTTTGATGCCTGCCTTCCAAATGTTAAGCAGCATGCCTCAAAGAAATATAAAAGAAATATGCTGGTTCCTACTAAAATGGGGACCAGCTGTTTCCATTGTATATACACTAACAGGTCATTTGTTTCCTCTCTTAACTATATTTTGTTTTTGTTTTGTTTTTAGGGTGAGTGTTAACCAAATAACAGATCAAGCAATAAGAGTACTCTATGAAGAATTGTCTAAGTACAAAATTGTGACTTATTTGGGGTATGTATGAGTTATGAGTTGCATTTAGTTAAAGACAAATTCTTTTGACCAAAAAAGAGTGATGCAAATCGGCATTGATTTTGTTATGTGCCCAAGTTATATGCTTCAGCAAGCATTTACTGCCCAATCCACATGCAGTGCAATCCTACAAAGCTACTAAATTGAACAATGGCATGGCAAACAGGGTAAATGCTGAAGTGAGAAAATTGCCACATCACCATCCAGTTGCAGATTCAGAATGTCTACTTGCTTACTTCATTTTATGTATAAATAAGATCTTTTTTCTTTACCCCTAGTGTAGAAGTAGGACTTGTTGGTACATGAATAAGGAATGTGTATCAAATCAAGGGCCAAATAACTGATTTACCTGTTTCAGACAAGTTTTAAGGACCTGTATTACAATGGTAGACAAATCCAAAAGCAAAAGTGTGAGCTCAGAAGACCAACAGCCAGCAACGGATTTTCATATATATACAGAACTGAGACTGGAGAATATTTCTAAATATGGAAAACTACCATATGATGCTTTCATGAGGAAGAGAGTATGGCCTTCTAGGGATTGCAGTCCAGGAGGGCCACATTTGACCCCAGGCTGTTACAGTAGTTCCCCAGTCTTATGCTAGTGGGAATGGTTAGAACTGAAATGTTAATGCTGTCTTTCAGTTGGATAAAAAGAGGACCTGTATATTTAATATAAATGATCCTAGTCAGTTTGTTCAAAAAGTGAAAAATGTATAAACCTGTGTTATGTATTCTCTTTCTTTCCTATAGCTTGTATAACAACCAAATTACTGATGTTGGGGCCAAATATGTTGCGAAACTCATTGTGGAATGTCCAAGCCTCATTTATGTTAAGTATGTATTTCTATCTCATCTCATTATTACAGTTCACGAAGCAACAAAAGCATGGAAAACATAGAGAAGATTTTTTTGTATTAAAAGGAATGGCATTTCAGTATAGTTAAGAATAGTATTTCCTAAATTAAGAGCCCCTAACTTAACAGGAGTTAACAGGCCCAGCCGCCCTGAGTCCCTTCGGGGAGATGAAGGCGGGGTATAAATATAAAGTTGTTGTTGTTATTATTATTATTATTATTATTATTATTATTATTATTATTATTATTATGGTGAAGATCACAAAGGAAAGTGAGCAAGTGTTTTTCATATTCTCTGTATGGAGAAGAATACGAAGTCAACCCAGGGACTCATTGGCATCAGATGTTATTTGATCTTCAGATGTAAGCAGGAAATCGGAAAGTATTTGTTTTTTTTGTAACATCCAGTTTCTTCTGCATTGATTAAGTGTTGTCTCAATCCCAAAAAGATCTTAATGTTGCCGACAAACAGGTTCAAAGTTGGCTTGTTTCTACTAACCATGGTTAACATTAACCATGGCTTATTAGGGTTTGTACAAAACAGCAGTCTGGTTAAATACAAACAGAAGTGACAACTTCCAATTTCCTCTCTATTGTCACACTAAACAATGTGAACAATATAACTGTCTTATCAAGTGGTGAATTGTGGGGCAGCTTTTGACTTTTGAAAACACAGTAATACAATTAACAGCATTTGAAAGTGTTTGTTGACTTGATTTCTAGCAGTGTTCCTTTGGTTGCAGAATAGGAGCAAACAAGATAACAACTGAGGGAGGAAAAAGCCTTGCTTATGCTATTCGACAGAGCAAAACAATGTATGAAATTGGGTAAGTGAATTCACTTATTTCTGTTACTGGTTTATTTGATTTAAATACGTTCCTTCAATATTTAATTGTCTCAACCATGCTGGCTCAGGATTGTGGATATTTACATCCAACATATCTGGAAGGCTGTAGACTGGGAGAAGGTTAGGCAAGCAGGAAATAACTGTATTATCCATTAGTTTGTCCATCTTAATTCTCTCTTCACTTGTAACACCATTTGCCCTTCCTTTTTTGTAGTTCCCTACTACAGATTTTGAATATTCTTCACAGACTCACTTTTTGATCCATAAATGTGAGAAATGTTTCCTTGAAATTTACAAAAACGTATTTGTGAGAGACAGGTTTGTGTACTGAATTACAAAAAATGGGCTGGGTTCAGACTTATTTAGTTGGTCTGAACAACTAGAACAAACTCACTAAAGCAATGGGACCTCAGTTCACAGAAATCCTATTGATTTTAGTGAATCTACTCTAAATAAGAGTACTCTAAGTCTAAATCCAACTGAACAGTTTTTGATGTATCATTTGATAACAGCAAACATTAACAATCACATGTGTTTACCAATCACAACATTTTCTTTAGTGTTTAAGAACCCATGTTTCGGGGGGGGGGTCAATCTGAGATCCTGAGAATTTGGGGATGTCCCCTGTTGATGTCATCAAGCAAACTGAGGTTGCATGGGGTGATGGGACTTGTAATTCAAGAAATGAAACTTCCCCAAACTTCGTATAGCTCAATACATTGTAGTTGTGGTGTAAGAACGTCTCTACGCCTACATTCCATGCTTCATTGGTAATATTGCACATCTAATGGGTACAACATATTTAAAATTCTCATGTAGTTCCAATGCAATATGCTTTTATATCATTTAATTACTACTGGTGAGATGATAGAAGCAGCAATAATACCCTGCATTCATAATCATTAGTGTCGTGCCCCATGAAGACCCTCAGTGTTTACCCCTAGATAAGTCCTTTTTAGTTAGAAGGATTAATGTTTTATGTGCAGTTTCCGGGGTGTCCATTTGGACAACATCTTTGCATTTGAAGCCTCCATCGCCCTGCCCCTTTAAGAACCCCTCAGGGGCAGAGCCTCAAGCAAGGCATTTCTGGTTCTTGGAAGAGTCATACTTTTGGGAATGGAAGGTGAAGAGAGAGGAGGGCTAGAGGGTCTACAAAATAGCACGACCGGTCGGAACTGTATGAGCTGTATTCAAGTCCAGTCAGAGTTAAATATTGAGAGCATCTTAGAAGAAGTTGAACACCATACAAGTAAGAAACAATAAGAAGAAATAAAGATTCAAGAGCGCAGCCAGTTCACCTTACAAGTAATTAAGATAACATGTAGGCAGAATATCACTATTACTATTAGTTTGTTGTTTCATTTTCTCAACAGATTTTTTTTAATAGTTCCACTGTGTGCCTCAGCATTTCAACTTTAGCATTTTCAGTTTTTTTAATGGTGTGCAGTGTTTCTTAGAGTTTCTACCCAGTTCTGCTAAATGATTTTTTCCCTGCAAAATGTTATATGGATAATGAGACTCAATTATTTTTGCCCAGAGATTGGATTCCCTCATAAGGCTGTCTGATGCCTCAAAATGCTATTTTGACTGTCAAGGGGATCCTGCTGAATTTGGAATTGAAGGAAAAGGAGGATCCCCAAATATTGGACAGAGCACATGTGTAGGAATAACCTTAATATCTTTGGGTTTGTTTTTTTTTTAATCTCATCACTCCGCTTTGGTGTTTCTCAATTTACTGGTATACAAAGATGTATATGGAACATGATTCAGCATTAAAGTTAGAAGAAATTGTATGGTGGAATGTTTCTTTGTTCCTTTGAAATTTGGCAGTGGCTGTAATAGGATGGGATGTCCCACTGAGTTGGGGAGTAATACAGCTCCACCATTTGACGTTGCCCTTTCTTGTGTTAGTGTGAGGTAGATCCCAGACCAAATCCATTAAGCATTATGTATTCGAGGTTCTATTCAAGTTCCTCGTGTTCATAGTGCCACATAGGGGACCAAAGGGATGGGCGTACTCTGCAATGCTTCCATATATTTCAGGGTTACCATCACACTGGGAGCCTGCTGTACTCCAGTAACCAGAGATTTAGAAATCTGGACAATTGGGATTCTAAATCATATAGGGAATTTACTTGAATACTAAAGGCCCCTTGCAAAACATGTTCATCCTTCCATCTTGTGGAGAATGACAAGGCTGCTAATACAGGAGCAGAACTGTCATGCTTCCCTCTCTGCCATCCCGTATGTGTCTGCAATTGGTCATGAGATTTTGCCACTAGACTTTTAAAAGTTATTCAGTAGGTGCTCAGAATTCCTTCAGAGTTGGTTCTCCATAGCATAGAGTCAGGTGTGAGGGAAAGGTTTGTATCAATGTCTTCTCATAAGCACTGCTTCTTTCTCTTTAACAGAATGTGGGGAAATCAAATAGGAGATGAAGGAGCCAAGGCTTTTGCAGAAGCCCTGTGGAATCACCCCACCTTAACAAACATTAGGTAAGAGTTTGTGTAGGCAGAAGATTGCTGCTTTAGTTTCCAGGTTGACAATGTTTTGAAGGAATCTGGCAGAAAATTTCAATAATATATGACCCTGCAGGCACCTGAAATTTCAGAGCACCTGGAGATGTTTAAGTGAGCTTTCCACAACTAGAGTGACCCTGGCATCTTTGGACAACTCTGTGGTCTTTAGGACCTCCCTGTACATGTGTATATCTTCAGCGACCACATGAACTTAATAGAATTTTCTTAGGGAAGGAATATTCAGATGTGGTTTGTCATTGCTTTCCTCTGAAATTTTTTCTACGGGCCCTTCCAGGCAAGCCCTATATCCCAGAATTTGATTCCAGGTTTTCTGCTTTAACCTGGATTATATTATTCCCCACTGCCAGATAATCTGGGATAAACAGAAAATCTGGGATATAGGGCCTGTCTGGAAGGGCTCTACAACATCTGGTGTTCCTTCGCAGTCCCCCATCCAAATACTAACCCAAACTGTAACTGCTTGGCTTTAAGATCAGGTGGGTTCTTGTACTTTCAGGTAAAATGCTGTTCAGCATCTCAGAGTCTAGGGCTTTATTATCTGTCTTATGTGCACTACCAGCCTGGCATAGGGGCTGGATATAGCCGTCCTTTTAATTTTGCACAGTATCATGCAAATGTTGCTGTAGTACATTATAAAAAATGAAAAGGATAGGTAGAAGTCAGCTGCTCAATGGCAATAAGAATGCTGCCACTGCATCCAGAAAAGCCCACCTGGATCCATTGATAGAAGAGCTCTCCCAAAGCACACTTTTTCCAAAACACCTTTAAACATGGGGACAACCCTAGGACATGGACAAAAATAAGTACAGTAAGACCCCAGTAACCAAGAAACCCATTTGTACAATTTCACTTACCCAGGGAAAAATGGTCTCTCTAGCATATTTGCTCTGAAATAAATAATATCATAATAGTGCAACTGTATTTCTATTCCACCCTCTCTCCCCGAAGGGACTCAGGGCAGAGTACAACAAAAAAGGCAAACATTCAATGCCAAACATATTCATAAATGTAAAAAACATTTATTTATTTATTTTATGACATTTATATGCTGCCCTTCTCACCCTGAAGGGGACTCAGAGCAGCTTACAAGATATATATATACATATATATAGAATATATTATATTATTAGCATAGTACAATATCAGTATTAAATACTACTATATTGTACTATACCATTATATTGTAATATTCGTAATATTACGTGTAATATACATATATAATTATAATATCATATTATTATTAGTATTATATTGCATTACATTATAATATTATATGTATATACAATATATTATATTATTAGAATAGCACAGGAGACAAGGTGGAACTGTCTGCTGCCCCCCTCTCTCTTCACTCTGGCCCAGAGCAGCAGTTGGTGCTGTGGGGAGGGGTCCCCAACTGATGACATACCAAACAGATTAATCAAATATCAAAGGAAACAGAAGCTAATACAAAATTAAACAAAAAATAATTGATAATATAACCTACCAATTACTATTACATCTTATATTTAAAAATTAAGCAAAATATAAATCACACATAACAATCCAATTAAATCAATTGTTAAGATATTGAATGGCCAATAAAGCCAACAAGTTACCATAAAGTCACTCTAGAGCAGGATTTCTTAAATTTTTCCACTCATGACATATTTTGGCCTGTAAAATTTTCATATATACATATATAAATAGATGCAAAAACCAATTATTTATTGACAACCATTCAGCATTTGCAAGGCTTGCTAAACAGGCTGCTTTTCCTTTTTGTGAAATATGGCTGGAGCATTTTCTGCAGAGTTCACACTGCGAGCACTGCACGGATTTGTTTAAATGGGTGGCATTCGGAAATCTTTTGATGTTGCCCAACATTCGSGACCCCAACATTGAATTAAGAGAACCYCATTTGGGRTCAGGACTTATAKTTTAAGAAGCAGATTTACTAGATCCTAGAGGATCTAGTAAATCCCTAGAGGGGACACCTCTTTAGAAYTGTCTAGGTCCTCCAAGGTGACYRGCATGCTGGGGCCAAAAGTCAGGTAATACAGTGAGGTGTATTTGTATTTGCAGTTTCAGTTAACCATGGTCTGGRCAAGAACATGTCCTCTATGAATAYTAGTGTCTTACTGTAAATGGGGGTGGACTTTTTCRGGGACTTGCTTTGAACAGGAACCATATTCAAGTCACAACTCAGRAAAMAATTATTTGGGCAAGTTCCAGAATTCCCAAGCAGGATGGTGGCTACTMATGCTAGGCAAGRRATCCTGGGACTTGTAGTGCAAACATAATTTCTTCCAAGCTCTTGTGGATTGTCCTCTCAAAGTCTGCAGTTCTGATACATTCTTGGCAGAGACACTAAGAGCCTAATTTAGAACAAAGATCTTTCAAAAATCGAACATGATTGATGTTTTAAAATGTGGTGCCCTGGTAAGAAAATGCCACTGTCAGTCCACATTTGTCTGCGAAAACCATTAAAGAATATAATTGGCATGGGCAGCCACTCAGGATTGAGAGCAAAGCTTTTAGGAGACAAAAATTTCCTTTGGGGAGGAGTTTTTAAAGAGGTTGTCAATCATTTTTCATTCATCCAACAAACAATGCCAGTATCCTTGTTTAAGGAGAACAAACAAGACATTTTCAATCCCCCCACAAGATGGCATACTTACTTGATTTTTGTCAAGTGAAAATATCAAGTCTATTAAAAACTTTCTGAAAGTAAAGTTTGTCGAGCTTGGAATTAAATGGGATGCAAATAAGAAATATTCTGCTTTTAGGGTGAGATGATGAAACAACAGTATTCCAACATTTCAAAATAATGTAATGACAACTGTTTGTGTTATTTCCCCCACTTAATAAGCATTGTATATTTGCTAATTTTTCTCATTACTTTTTCAAGGGACTTCAATTGCATTTTGAACATTATCTTTTTAGGTCGGTTTCTTACTTCTTAAAAACTGATTTCCCCCTTTTCAAGGACATAAAATAGTCATTGAAATATTAAAGATGATACAATAATATTTATTTTTTTTGGTCGTATGAGGAGTTACTCCCGGTGTGAGAGAATTGGCCGTCTGCAAGGACGTTGCCCAGGGGACGCCTGTATGATTTGATTTTTTTTATCATCCTTGTGGGAGGCTTCTCTCAAGTCCCCGCATGAGAAGCTGGAGCTGATAGAGGGAGCTCATCCACCTCTCCCCGGATTCGAACCTGAGACCTGTCTGTCTTCAGTCCTGCCAGCACAGGGGTTTAACCCACTGCGTCACCGGGAGCTCCAATAATCATTATTATTATTACTTGGATCTGCGCACATCATTCAAAAGTACATCACACAGTCCTAAACGCTTCGGAAGTGTTCAACTTGTGATTTTGTGATACACAATCCAGCATATAGATCTTGTTTGCTGTGGCATACTGTGTTTTCAAGTCAGTAAAATAATAATAATAATAATAACAACAACAACAACAACCTTTATTTGTATCCTACCACCATCTCCCCGGAGGGACTCGGGGCAGCTCACAAGACGCACTCAGTAGTGCAACACAGTACAAATAAATACAGCACAATATACAAAGGTTAAATTAATAACAATAATATTAACCCTAATTACACACAGAACAACGATAAAACCCCTATCTATTTAAAACACTAAAAGGCCCAACAAACTATAAAATAGCGGCCATGTGCAATATCTGTCCTCGTAAAGTGCAAAGACCACTCACTTGGTTTCAAAAGATTTCAAATACAGTGATTTATAATTCTTAAACATGGCCAAAAACTTGTGTAAAAAGCCACATTTTCAGATGTTTACAAAAAAACACTACTTTTTTGGGGGGATGGGGGTGTTGACAACAAATTATTTTCAGAGCAAGTACTTTCCCAACTCTGGCCAGCTTTGAGGTCCACAACAATCAAAAAGTAAAAGTATATAACAAAAAAAATCCACGCTAGATCATATTTGTGGATCAACTATATTTTGGTGGTGTCTCATTTTCTCTGAGGGACACCCAAGTTTACCTTGGCAGAGGGAAGCAGCCATTAGGCACCAGATTCAGGGAATCAGGAATTGCATTCCATTGGCCATTCCTTATTTTGAGAAAAAAGCTGGATGGAAACTTGTTTGCTGCAATCAGGTGTAAGTCAGAATTGTATTTAATTGCCAATGTTGTACTGGCCATACAGTCAGCTCTTGAATTTCAAATGAGAGACAGGGTGCCATCTTATCTTTCATTTCAGATAACAAAATGAAACTTTTTAATGCATTCCTAAATGTATCACACACTGCTTTTGAAACTCATCTTGGTTTCAAAAGTTAATAGCTTCTTTAGGTATGAAGAAGTAGTTCCTCCATTCCTGACCAGGAGGAGTTGTTTGTATAATGGGCTTAATTATCAAAGATCTACCAAAAGTGTCTCTGCAAAATCTTAACCTCTACGATACCTATTACTTGAAAAGTTCCTGACCAGGCTTTGCGTTTTTGGACTGGAATGTTCCCTAGAGGTATGGATTTGAGGAAGAAAAGAGCAATGAGTGGGTAGGGGGGTAAATGTCTTGTCAATGGCCCCCTCTTTTATACAGTTCTCTTGTTGAAAGCTCATGGTTTATTGCTTTTTTTCTTTTCAGAAATAAAAATACCCACATAAAGGCAATCTGAGAGGTTTGCAAGACTCTAGGGTACTTTAAAATAGTAGTAAAATACATTATACGGGAGGTCTGTTAATGGCATTAGAACAGTTGTTATCACTGCCAGTTGAGACTGATCAGTGTATCTGTGTGCTTTATAATGTTTGTGTATCAGCATTGCATGGGCAAATACAGCTTTCCTAATGTTGACAATGACACCATGGAGAGCATTTAGCATTGGAGAACGTCATTCAGATTGGGCTTCTTTGTCCAAAGGGCATCTGTGAATCTGGCTGTAGCACAGCAATAACTGAAAATTGGGTTTGCCAACCTTTTTCCCAGAACTGAAAAATGCTACTATTTTTAACTACAGCATCCAGAAAGTCCCCAGCCAGCCTGGCCAATGAATAAAAAAAACCTCTTCCCAAGCTCTCCTTTTTTCCCCTGAGAACTGCAGACCATTGATGGGAAAAATCAGAGCCATAATGTATTGTCGAAGGCTTTCATGGCCGGAATCACTGGGTTGTTGTAGGTTTTTCAGGTTGTATGGTCATGTTCTAGAGCATGTTCTCAACCTGGGGTCCCCAGATATTTTTGGCCTTCAACTCCCAGAAATCCTAACAGCTGGTAAACTGGCTGGGATTTCTGGGAGTTGTAGACCAAAAACATCTGGAGACCCCAGATTTAGAACCACTGTTCTAGAGGCATTCTCTCCTGATGTTTCACCTGCATCTATGGCAGGCATCCTCAGAGATTGTGAGGTCCCCTAACATCACAGCCTCTGAGGATGCCTGCCATGGATGCAGGTGAAACGTCAGGAGAGAATGCCTCTAGAACATGGCCATATAACCCGAAAAACCCTACAACAACTCAGAGCCATAGGTTAGTTGAAATTACCCTACAACTCTCAGTCTCTGTCACACAATTTTCATTCTTCCTCCATTTTTGAATATTCAAAAGAGCTGTACTTCTTTAAGAGGGTCATTAAAATCTGCTTGATCACAGAGTATTACCTAAGTTGTTGTTGTTGTTGTTTACCTTGAATGAACGTGGACTTATGGTTGTCATGTTCATGGGTTTTCTTGCCAAGATTTATTCAGAAGTGGTTTATCATTGGCTACCAGTAAAGCTGAGAGCGGTTTTCCCAAGGTCATGCAAGTGAGTTTCCATAGGTATATGAGTGTTTCAACCTGGTCTCCAACATCCAAAGCACTGAACAGCTAACAATGACGGTTATAAGATTTAACAGAAATAGGCCCAGAATTATCCTTGCCTTTGAGGAAGTGCTACAAACCTCAGCTTTGCCTACTGGCTTCTTCCTCAAAATGAAAAGCAACTCCTTCTGCTTTTGCCTCCCACAAGGTCAGCTAGCGGAGTTAGAACACAGTAGAGAATACATCCCTTCTCACCTAGTCAACCTTGTGAGAAAGGCCAGGTTGCTCACAGACATGTTGACCAGATCCCTTGCATAGGGCTTTTAAACATAAAACAAGGATTATTGGTTCCCTGCCCTTGGTTTAGAGCAGAGGTCCTTAAACTTTTTAAACAGAGGGCCGGGTCACGGTCCCTCAAACTGTTGGAGGGCCGGATTATAATTTGAAAAATCTATATAAATAAAAATGTAATGTTCGTTTGTGGGATTAACATAACTCAAAAACCACTGGACGAATTGACACCAAATTTGGACAAAATACATCTATCAGGCCAACAAGTGACTATCACTCATAAAAACACTGAAAAACACAGCGGAAGATATTTAAAAAGCAACATTCCCCCAAAAATACATTACAATACATGCGCAAAACCATATATATATATACACAAACACACACATCTATGCATATACACACACAAAACGCATACACAGAAAGGGGGAAAGAAGGAAGGAAAGAAAGAAGGAGGGAGAGAAGGAGGCAAAGAAGGAGGGAAGGAGAGAAAGAAGGAAAGAAAGAAGGGTAGAGAAGGAAGGCGAGAAGGAGGGAGAGAAAGAGAAAGAAAGGGAAAGAAGGGGGAAGGAGAGAAAGAAGGGTAGAGAAGAAAGAGAAATAAAGAGGGAAAGAAGGAGGGAAGGAAAGAAAGAAGGGTAGAGAATGAAGGAAGGGGAGAAGGAGGGAAAGAAAGAGAAAGAAAGAGGGAAAGAAAGAAAAGGGAAGGAGAGAAAGAAGGAAAGAAAGAAGGGTAGAGAAGGAAGGAAGGAGAGAAGGAAAGAGGGAAAGAAGAAGGGAAGAAGGAGGGAAGGAAACAAAGAAGGGTAGAGAATGAAGGAAGGGGAGAAGGAGGGAGAGAAAGAGAAAGAAAAGAGGAAAGAGGGGGGAAGAAGGGAAGAAAGAAAGAAAGAAAGAGGGAAAGAAGGTAGAAAGGAAGGAAGAGAGAAGGAAAGAGGAAAGAGAGGGAAGGAAAGAAAGAGAAGGGGGAGAAGAAGGAGGAGAGAAGGAGGGAAAGAGAAAAGGAAAGAGAAGGGGAAAAAGGAGGGAGGAGAGAAAGAAGAAAGAAAAAAGAAGAAAAAGAAAGAAGGTAGAGATGAAGGAAGGGAGAGGGAGTGAAGGAAGGGGAGAGAAGGAGGGAGAGAGGGAAAGAAGGAGGGAAGGAGAAAAGGAAAGAAAGAAAGGTAGAGAAGGAAGGAGAGAAGGAACGAAAAAGAGAAAGAGGGTGGGAAGGAAGGAAAGAGACAAGGAAGGATGGAACCAAAGAGAGAACATCAGGAGAGAATGCTTCTGGAACACAGCCATACAGCCCAAAATCAAAGATGATGTCTGTGTGTGTGTGTGTGAAGGGAGGGGGTTCTTGCCCAGCAGAGGAGGAGGAGGAGAGTCTTGGCGGGTGCTTCCCTGGTGGAAGGAGACCCCTCCCTCCCTCGCTCGCTCCCTCCACATTGACCCCCTCCCTCTGCTCCTTGCCTTGCAGTGAAGCCCATGGAGTCCCCGCCCTGACAGGCAGAGGCTCGGGAGGCGCACCATGCCCGGGACGCGGCTGCTGCTCCGCCTGGCTTTGCTGTGCGAATGCACGCAGCTCGTGGCCCCTTCCCAAAGGCAGAAAAGCTGGCTTGGCCCAGGGAGGAGGAGGACGAAGCGGCTCCGAAGCTGCTTCGCCCGCCGCCTCCCCCACCTTCTCCACACCCTGCGGGCCGGAAAATGCCCTCGGGGGGCCGGATCCGGCCCCCGGGCCTTAGTTTGGGGACCCCTGGTTTAGAGGAACATTGTTCCTCTTAACCAGCTGCCTTGAGTCATTTTGGGGAGAAAGGCGGGATATAAATAAAGTAAATAAACATAAATAAAACACTCTTGACATTTAGTCACTTGTCCAGTCTTGTGACTGTCCTGTGCGACCTCCCACCATGGTCCAAAACATTGAATTTTTCTAAGATAACATAAAAGCATACTGTTAATAACTTTTGATGTGTTTTTGTAGTTGTTTCTAATGTCTTGCCATTCTCTTCACAGTCTTGCGTTTAATGGTATCACCACAGAAGGAGGCAAATGCCTTGCAGAAGCCATGAAGCACAACAACACTGTGAACATATTTTGGTAAGGAGATGGTTTTTAAGCCATCTTGATGGATTGGAGAGGTGTCCTTACTGGCTCCAGAGTTCCCACTTCTCATCAGTCCCATGAGAAGCATAACCCAAAAGAGTAACCAGCTAGGAGAATTTGGAGACCAGCGGGTTTTTACTGTGTGTATTCAAAGAGCTCTAGCAGTGCTGTCCAAAATAAAAGCTCTCTGTGTGGACCTGAAATCCAGGAGAGAAACAGGAGAGTGTTATCAATGCAAACAAGAAACAGTCTGAAGTCCTGTCCCAGCAGGTCTGACAGCTGGGAAGGGAACAGTTTCCACCCAACCTTGTCAAGACAAGCAAATATGCAAAGAAGAGAAGTAGCTTAGGGGTTTTTGAAGGGGGAGCAAAATGTACTTGTAAAAATATCCCCCTTTCAGCTGCAAGTAGTTGGGAACAGGCAGAGGCAACCCATCCCATGCATACGCAGAGTTGTTTTAAAATATATTGGGAAAATTGCTACTTATCAGTCACATCAATGGGGTTGTGGTGAAACTGTCCTAAGACTTTTGCTTTGTGAAGCAGATGAGCAGATGGCATACTTCCTTGTCTGTCTAGCCAACTATTGGAGCCCAAAGCCAACCAAGTTATTTTGGCTGTAGAAAATCCCAGCCCTTCTTTGGCTATCAAAATTACCCTACATCAGTTTACTGATGTTATTTTGTAATTTTTGTATTAGTTTAATGCGTTTGAAATTGATTGTGGCATTGAATGTTTGCCTTTTTGTATGTAAACCGCCCTGAGTCCCCTCTGGGAGAGAGGGCGGTCTATAAATAAATGGTCTATAAATTTATTATTATTATTATTATTATTATTATTATTATTATTATTATTATTATTATTATATTTGAAACACAACAAGATGAGTCCACAGCAAACAAGATCACTCTGCTGGCTGTTGTATTGGATCACACGATGGGCACTTCCCGAGTGTCTAAACCTGTGTGATGTATTGGGGAATAATGCATGCAGATCCCAGTAAGGTGGCCTTTTGCATCTGGTAGATGGTAATTTTATCAGCGCCGATTGTGTTTAAGTGCAGGCCAAGGCCCAGTGCGCCGATCACCACTGGGACCACCTTTACTAGTTTGTGCCAGAGTCTTTGCAGTTTGATCTTTAAATCCTCATATCATGTCAGCTTTTCTAGTTGTTTCTCTTCAATCCTGCTGTCACCTGGGATTACAACATCAATGATCCATACTTTGTCTGTCTGAATTCGGAAGTCCCAGAGTAGTTTGACGTGTTCATTTTCTGTAGCAGTAGTAGTAGTAGTAGTAGTAGTAGTAATAATGCCTTTAATACAGCCTAAATGTACAGTCTCCTCATTCTGCTGGTTGAGTGATGGGTCAGGCCCAGGCATGGACAAACTTCAGCCCTCCAGGTGTTTTGGACTGTTAGGAATTGTGGAAGTTAAAGTCCAAAATACCTGGAGGGTCAAGGTTTGCCCATGCTGGTCTGGCCAGTGTTTGCATTCATGTCTTCAAGTTGTGGAGAAATATCAAAATATGTCCAATCCTGTTATAGTGTACCCTGGGAATACTATAATAAATTTGTTTCAACTTATTTTTTCCTTCTCCACTCATGAACTTGCTCTGAAGTGGGGATGTGAAATGTTCCATGTGACGTACTGGAAAGCTAGACTTTCCCCAATCGTTTCTCCCATTGTCGTTCTAACAATACACGGCTGATCGTGACCAAATTTCAAGATACATGAAATGATTGTATTCTGAGAACAAGAAGTCCTGGCACTGACAAAAGAGGAAGCGGCCTTGGATTCTGTCCCAGGTGGTGCCCGGGGTCTGGCGCAAGATGCTTGGAAACTTTAGCCACAATGCTATCAGTGGCTTGAACAAAACTGAACAAACAGTGTCAGAATGCATTTGTTCCAGGCTGCATTGCCCTTGGTGCAGGAACACTCACTACACAGTTAGCATCTGGACAAATATCCTTATTCTGTAACCATTATGAATGAAGGAAAGAAGCAAGGAAGGAATTGTAGTGCCACCCCATCCCCAAAACAATTCAGTGCTGACTGAGCACACTCAGGGCCCATGGAACAGTGAATTGAGGAGGGAGAAACAGTGAACACCAAGACCCCTTCCACACAGCTGAATAAAACCCCACATTTTCTGCTTTGAACTGGAATATGTGGCAGTGTGGACTGAGATATGCCAGTTCGAAGCAGATATTATGGGATTTTCTCCCTTGATATTCTGGGTTATATGTCTGTGTGGAAGGGCCCTGAGATATGAAGTATAGAATGGAAGAGCCTGCTGGAATGGAGTTTGCTGGCTGTCATCAGCTTTAGGAAATGAAAATGCATAGATGTTTTGAAAAAAGAACTACTGTATTCTCCAGCAGTGATTGGTGGTGCAAGGAGCAGAAGTAGAGATCCATGCAGAGTCTTCTTGTAACTCTTGGTGCACCACTAATCCGTTATGGGAGGGAGCTGGATGTGTCATCCTCCTGCACCCCACACACCAGCTCTGCAGGACATTGTCAGCTGTCACAGCTGGCTGGATTTTGAGATGTGTTTGGGGAGACAGAGTGTTATGATGCCTCCATGGCTGTGTGCCTAATGCGGGATCCCTGGCAACAACTGGAGCTACTCCACTCAACATCTCTCTCTAGTTTGCTTTAATATTTTCTGTCTTACTCAACTGCCGAGTATGCCTGCCCTGTTTGACACAAGTCTGCCCATGCAAAGCAGGTGAACATAGCAGTGGACGAAACATGCAGAATAATCACAGGATGTCTCAAACCTACACCGGTTGATAAACTCTACAAACTAGCTGGCATTGCCTCCCCCCCCCCCGCCCCGATGTGCGACGGGAAGTTGCTGCTAACTGTGAGAGAAATAAGGTTGAACACTGAAAGGCACCCACTGAATGGCTATCGGCCTCCTCCTAGTAGACTCAAATCAAGGAAAAGTTTAATAAGAACCACCACTCCTCTTAATGTTTCCCCAGCAACATGAACATCTCTCCTGGCAGCAAAATCAGGCAATTTCCCTGGATGCCCCCACCCGCCAAATGAAGGTCTTCTTCCAGGAGCAAACCAAGAATGGCCAATTTGGAAGTCCCTGAACAGACTCAGAAGAGTGGGCAGATCAAAAGACATCCTGGCAAAATGGCACTACCTAAAAGAATCCCACACCTTGTGCGACAGACAACTCCATATCTCCACAATGCCCTGCCTCATGCACAGAAGAAAAATTGTTTAAAGCTACAGACAATGTAGTCGCTGTTGCCCATTTTTGGTCAAAAAATATTTAGCCGCTTGTACACCTTCTATTTGTATCAGTCTCATATTTATTTATGCAATGCTTTTGATACGAAATAAAATAAATATTTTCTGTAACAGATCTGGAATTGTGAGTTCATAGGTCACCATGTGATAACCGTATCTGTCTGGAAGGTCACAGGTCATCACATGATAGCATTTTTTCTGTCTGGAAATTTCCTTTATCAACCCATGTGAGCTCTCTGAAAGATCTTTGTCTGGTTTGCAGTAAAACATCAAGGACTTCTGACCTTGATTGTTTTAAACATAGAATCAAAAAAATGTTCCCTTCTCCCAGCTTGACACCCCAGCATAACTCTCAAATGAAATCTTGTGGTAACCAATAGCAGATTTGTGTGTAACTCAGTTCTTTAACAGATTGTATGTGTTTGACCTGCGGCTGTCATTGTTGAATCTTGAGGCTCTACTAAAACAGAATCAGACCCAGCCCTATTCTTAGATCCAAATGATTTTCTGTGGGTTTCAGAACTCTTCATCCCTCAACTACACTCCAGACACCTCCCAGAAAATAAATAAATAAATAAATAGAAGAAAAACTTCTTTGTGCATGTTGACATGCCTTAGGCATGCAGGTGGGGTTCCTTGGATCTCAGCTTCAATAGATAAAATCTTATTATTTCAACTGAATGCTGGAATTTCAACAAAATGTGCTTTAACGCAACAGTATTCATGGTAGCTCTGCACAGGTCCTGCCAGCAGTTGTTGGCTTTTTAAAAACATTCTTTTCTAGACAGGACAAAGCTGCATCGGAAAAATAAAACATTAAGTAACCCAAAAAAAACCCTCCTCATGCCTCTAATGACAGAACTATCTTGTGACTGAAACTCTTTTTTGTTTCCCCAACTAGGCTCACAAAGAATGACTTTGATGACGAAGCGGCAGAGTGCTTTGCCGAAATGCTAAAGGTCAACAAGAGATTGGGCCATCTGTGGTGAGTTATGGTGGCTCCTGAAGCCAGAGCTCTTAGTCATTCCCTCGGTCTGTGAATCCTATACTGGGCATTGTAAACATTCTGCACAAGGACCTGGGCCCGCATTTGCCTCATTTGGACAGAAGGTCATCTCAAGCATCAGATCATCTGATTCAGACTGACTAATATTTGGAGTGTGTGCAGAGGTAACTAAGCGCCATAGGAGAACTCAACCCCTATAGGCTGCTCCACCTTTTAAGAATGTGGTTTTCCTGCATTTTTTCCAAATCAGAGTTTATTTGGGGTTGTCAAACACACACACACACCAAGGCAGTGCCCTTTAGAGAAGAATTACCACTTTTGGATATGCATCGGTTTCCGATTTTTGGATATAACTTTTCCAAATTCCATTTTCAAATGTTAGGGAAGATGTATAGAGGGGAGTGAAAGCCTCCAAAATTACTTTGGGGTAGGTATAACCTGTGAGCTGCCTGTTTCCTGCCCTTAAACTATGGGTTTGAATGAGTGGTTGTACCCTTTGCTGTATTGACTAGGATGGGGCAAGAAATAAAGTCAGATATGCATGGCTTTTGTTCCTATATGTTGAATTTCAATCCAGATAATTATATGATCAAAGGGATATTTTTTGTTATGTGCCTTCAAGTCACCCTGACTTACAGCAACCCTACTATAGGCGTTTCTCGGCAAAATTCGTGGGAGGTTTGCTATTGCCTTCCTCTAAGCATGAGAAAGTGTGACTTGCCCAAGGTTACTTTCTAGATTTCTGTGGTCTCCCAGAGTCCTAGCTCAACAATTAAACCACTAAACCAGTGGTTCTCGACCTGTGGGTCCCCAGGTGTTTTGGCCTACAACTTACTAGCTGTTGACTAGTTTTGGCCATCTGGGAGTTGAAGGCCAAAACATCTGGGAACCAACAGGTTGAGAAACACTGCACTAAACCAAGCTGGTTATGAAAAGGAATATTTTGCTCTTCTTGCATTGATACTTGATGACTTTGAACCTATAATTTTGGGGCATTTTTTTGTCTCTTCGCCACAGATTAGTTGACAATAGTGAAAAATATGTTTTCAGCTCATTTACTTGGCAGATAGTTCTGCCTCATATCTGTATCAGTGCTTGTGTTGTTTGTTTTTATATCTTTCTAGCCTGCCTCTTAATCTAAGCAGGTCTCTCCAAGCATCTTATACAAGCAAACACTATAATAGAAAATGTGAAAACCACATAAAATCAACTCCAATCAAAACAAGCATTTAGCAAATTGTAAATGCTGCATGTGAAGCAGAAAGGAATAGCAGAAAAATATATTAATTTACCACAGGTTGGAATTAAACATGGTCGCATTTAGAGTAGGCCCAAGGGGCAGGATCCTGAGTAGCACCAGTGGAGTATAAAGTTTCTTTGGGATGTCAACCAAACAAGCAGGAGCTCTGAATGAAGGATGTGTTATGACATACAGGTATATCAGATATCTCCTTATGCAATCTTGTAAAAGGTAGGGATCACTGGTGTAATCCAGCAATATATATCTATTGTACTGATGTGATGCCCCAGTAGGTTTCCAGTCTTTCTTGAAGATTAGCCTGCTCTAAGTATGACTAAGGCCCCTTCCACACAACTGAATAAAATCCCAAATTATCTGCTTTGAACTGAAATATATGGCAGTGTAGACTCAGATATCCCAGTTAAAAGCAGATATTGTGGGATTTTCTACCACATGTTCTGGATTATATATCTGTATGGAAGGGCCTTGACTCCAGCCCATACACATGCACTGCATTTCTGCCAGGGCAATCAAATTGAGTAATGCTATGCATCAGGGTGCACATTGGGAGTGGGAAGAGGGCAGAAGGCAACTCCAAGGTACTAGCTTCTATAGTAAATAATGAAATTCGCAGACTCACTTGAATTGTGGTAATGGAGAAGAACTCTACAGATACCAAAGACCAGAGGTCCCCAAACTAATTGCTCGCAGGCCACATGTGGCCCTCCAAGGTCATTCACCTGCGCCTCACCCTAATCTTTAGACTTAGGATCACCCTAAGTGAAATGACTTGAAGACACATAACAACAACAATCCTCATTGACTCATCTCATCAGCCAAAAGTAGGCCAATATTTCCCATTGAAATACTGATATGTTTATGTTGGTTAAAATTGTTCTTCATTTTTCATATTGCATTGTTTTTTCATATATTTGTTTGCACTACAAATAAGATATGTGCAGTGTGCATAGGAATTAGTTCAATTTTTTTTCAAACGATAGTCTGCCCCTCCCCCGAACAGTTTGAGGGGCCATGAACTGGCCCTCAGCTTTAAAAGTTTGAGGATCGCTGCCAAAGATCAATGAATTTGTCCAGCAGCAAATCAAGCCTGAACTCTCATGAAAGGACTGAGCTGAGGCTATTGAACTTGGGACATGATTAAATGCTACGACTGGAAAAAATAATGTCTGGTAAATTGGTGGCAGTAGGAAAATATGAAAAGCACATTGTCAGTATCTCAATTGTGCCCTAAGTTTGCAAGACCAGAGCAGGACTGCTGATGACCAGAACTCAGGGTGATCTCTCATTTGTAAGACTGTCATGAATCAAAGCCAATTTAAGAACAAATCGCAATTACTCATATACTGACATCTTGTCCAATGTATCTACATGAGAAGGTTTATATTGGTGGTTCCCAACCTGTGGTCCATGGACCACCAATGATCCGCAAGAACTAAAATATGGTCTGCAGACTCACTGTTACTACACTGTTGCAATGAAAGCGACTGGTCTCACGAAACCCAAGGCTTATTAAATAAGATTTTCTGTGGGCAACCAGAACATACTGGATGGCATATATTCTGTATCAGAAACTAGAGCTGATGTGGTCTACCCAATGCAATTTTCTGAATCAGCACCCCAAATAATCAAACTGAATCTAAAGTTGATCCAAAACTGATTCACAACCCTTTTGGTACTAATGTTGGAGAGTGGTCCCTGGTCAAAGTGGTCCCTGGTCAAAAAAAGGTTGGGAACCACTGGGTTGTACCAAAGTGCTCCACAACAACATATGGTCCAGCCACACCCCACACCCCCCAATATCCCACCTGTTCAGATGTAGTGGGAATGGGTTCTGCATGCACAGAGGTGTACAAGCATAGACCCCCCCCCCCGCCACCTGAAAGGGAGGCCTTCAGACAATCAAGATTCCTCACCTATGGGAGACACCTATGTGTATCCACATGCAAATGTATGGACACAACCGTGTGGTCAGCTAGGGCTCAGTTAGTCTACGTCATTGAGAAACAGTTATCCAGCACCTCAATTTCGTGCATTCTTTTAAGTTGTGTGAATGGAGATACTAATAGGCCTGAAAAATATATTTCTGAAGAGAAGCTGATAACAACAACAACACTTTATTTATATTCCGTTCTATCTCTCCAAGAGGACTTAAAGCGGATTACAACATACACAGATAGGCAATGCCTTTAATACAATGAAATAACAATGACACACAAATACACAGAACAAAGGTAAAGGCTTCTCCTTTCATCTTTGGCTTCTGGAGGCGGTGCTCACCTCTAGTCATGGTGAGGTGCTCTTTTTCCATTTCCAAGCTGCGGAGCCTGTTGTCTGTAGACACTTCCTGGTTCTGTTGCCAGCATGTCTGCATGGGCGTCTTTATTACCTTTCCTCCGAGGTGGAACATATTGATCTCACATTTGAATGTTTTCAAACTGCTAGGTTGGCAGGAGCTAGGGCTAACAGCAGAAGCTCACCCCGACCCACGGATTTGAACTGCCAACCTTTAGATCAGCTGATTTAACAGTTCAATGGTTTAACCCATTGCACCACCGTGGCCCCTTGTAATAGCAGAGGGTTTTGTTATTTCACCTCTGCCTCTAACACAATCCTAAAGAGACGGAGCATTTTTGAACAGCAGTGTGACAAAGCCTGCACCCTGTCCACAGACTGACCTCAAACAACATCTATGGAATTTCATCAGTGCCCTGAAGCCAATGAATATAATAAGAAGAGATTTGCTGAATCAGACCAATTTAGTCTTGCAATCTGTTTCCCAAGAGGCCAGGGTTACATCATAACTTGTTCTTTAAAGTTTCCAAAACAGTTAGCTATGTTGAGCTGAGTTGCCATATGGAAAACCTTTATGACTAAAGATTTGTCTAGAAAACCTATTTCCTGTTTACCTAAAGTGTCCCACTATTGCACGTCATACTTTTGTTTGCTATGGGGTTAAAACACTTGAAGGCCACCTGTGTGCTGATGTGCATTTTGTATTTTTAAACTTCATATTCTAAGATGGCTTTCTGTCCAGCCAAAAAGATTACTGCATAAACCTGTTGTACATGTACTGTCCCTCATCCCTTAAATAGGAGAATGTATTGAATTACAAGAAGAACATGGGAGACACTGCTATCACTCAGCGGAGCTGTCTGGGCTGATTTTCAACCATTATGTCAACAGTGATAATTCTCTTAACTGGAGAGTGCATTTGCTTACATACATCAGATTCTAGCTTGGCTTGGTTTCCTCAGAAGGGCCTCTCTGCCTTTTCTAGTCTAAAGAGAATAATTCTGTTCTGTTTTTTTTCCTTGTGGCACACAGCCCACCAATGCAAATAGGATCAGAGTCAGTCTTGTCTATTTCCAGTAAGCACTGTTCCTCTTTTTTGAGTCACAAAACTTAGCTGACACGAAGCCACAACTCTTTAAAGGTTTCCTCATTTTTAATTCTGCTACTTTGACATCTCTGCGGCTAGTCTAGAAGGCCATAAAATTCCCACTCTTGTTCAGGGCGTAGAGCATCCAGTGTGTTTTTGAAACCCCCAGACCAGTTGTCTCTTTTCCATCCCAAATAAAGAATAATAAGGAATTACTGCTCCTAACAGCCTCCGGAAACAGTTATTCTTCTCTAAAGCAAGATGTCTGTGTGGGGTGGCTTTTCTCTCCCACTCTCATCAGGGTAGAAGTGAACCTCTGGTCCTTGCATATTTTGGGAGGAAATACAAACTGTATTTTTGGAAAAGGTACAGTCTTAGGGCACTTCCAGACAGCACTAAATCATCAGTTTTAAGCAGTGGCAAAAAAATCCCGGGATTTCAAAAGAGATGCACATACATTCCTGTTGGTCCCGGGATTTCTGCCTCCAATATCCAGACTTGATACTTTGTTGTGAGATTTAGAGGCACCCAAGTTGGCCACTGCAGGACTTCCGCTGGAAACTTTGGTGTTTTTTGGGGTTTTTTTTAATCTCAAGATGTGGATATGTAGATGTGCAAAGAATCACTGCAGCAAATCACTGCAAAAGCTCCGTTCTTTCTCCTGGCCAGAGAAACAGTGCCCTCCACACTTTTCATAAAGTTTCTGGCACACAAAGTTTTCATGTTCTACTCAGCTGTCACCTTTTTAGAAACCAACCAATCAGAAACAAACATGCAAAACCCAGGAACAAACCTGGAGAAAAACATCCCGTGATTTCTGATTGCAGGGACATACAGACATTTGAAGATGCAGATATTTGGCTCAGAACCATAATATTCCTGCACCTGGAAATCTCGTGTTTTTTGCCTTTTGTAAAGATTGCTTCCGCGTTTACAGGGAATGGTGTCTAGCCACCTTCCTGTTTGCTGCAGAAGCTCATGGGACAAAGGTACTGTCTGGACCGACCCTTAGGTGTGTCTGGAGGTGAGAAAACTAATAATAATAATAATAATAATAATAATAATAATAATAATAGAAGTAGAAGAAGAAGAAAAACAACTGGGAAAGCTGACACGATACAAGGATTTAAAGATCAAACTACAAAGACTCTGGTACAAGCCAGTAAAGGTGGTCCCAGTGGCGATCGGCACACTGGGCAGTGCCTAAAAACCTTGGCCTGCACTTAAACACAATCAGTGCTGACAAAATTACCATCTGTCAGCTGCAAAAGGCCACCCTACTGGGATCTGCATGCATTATTCAGCGATACATGACACAGTCCTAGACACTTGGGAAGTTTCCGACATGTGATCCAATACAACAGCCAGCAGAGTGATCTTGTTTGCTGTGTACTAATCTTATATTCAAATAATACTACTACTAATAATAATAATCTTTATTTATATCCTGCCACCCTCTCTTCAAAGGGACTCTGAGCAGCTTACAGCAATCAGTCAATAGAAAAATAATATAAGCGATAGACAAAAACAATAACCAATTATTACTACTTAGAAATAAAAACATACTTTTGTTGTTCATTTGTTCAGTCACTCTGGACTTTGTGAACTCATGGATCCGCCCACGCCAGAGCTCCCTGTTGACCATGGCCATCCCCAGCTGCTTCAAAGTAAAGCCAGTCACTTCAAGGATACCTTGCATCCATCTTCCCCTTGGTCGGCCCTTCTTCCTTTTTCCTTGCATTTTCCCCAGCGTCATTATCTTCTCCAAGCTTTCCTGTTTTCTCATTATGTGGCCAAACTACTTCATCTCAATCTCTAATATCCTTCCTTCCATAGTAATAAAACATGAATAAATAAAAATTAAAAAACTATTTGCTCTCAAAAACAATACAAATATAGATATGCTGGAGACCCCCCTGGTTAATCAGATATCACATTTAGTTATCGTGTCAGGAGCAAACCAAACAGTTGTATTTTATTTTTAACAAACAAACAAACAAAACACAAAATTTGCAAGCTTGGTAGTTGATTAAATGATCTTTGACCAGTAGCTGGCCACTTGGAGTGCCTCTGGTGTTACTATAAGAAGCCCCTCCATTGTGCATGTAGCAGGGCTCAGGTTGTATCACAGCAGGTGGTCTGTAGTTTGCTCTTCTCCACACTCGCATGTCGCATGTCGTGGATTCCACTCTGTAGCCCCATTTCTTAAGGTTGGCTCTGCATCTCGTGGTGCCAGAGCGCAGTCTGTTCAGCGCCTTCCAAGTCGCCCAGTTTTCTGTGTGCCCAGGGGAGAGTCTCTCATTTGGTATCAGCCATTGATTGAGGTTCTGGGTTTGAGCCTGCCACTTTTGGACTCCCACTTGCTGAGGTGTTCCAGAGAGTGTCTCTGTAGATCTTAGAAAACTATGTCTTGATTTAAGTCATTGACGTGCTGGCTGATGCCCAAACAAGGGATGAGCTGGAGATGTCTCTGCCTTGGTCCTTTCACTATTGGCTGCTACTTCCCAGCAGATGTCAGGTGGTGCAATAACTGGCTAAACAGTGTAATTTCTCCAGTGGTGTAGGGTGCAGACACCCCGTGACAATGCAGCATGTCTCATTAAGAGCCACATCCACTGTTTTAGCGTGGTGAGATGTGTTCCACACTGGGCACGCATACTCAGCAGCATAGCGCAAGTATCACATTGAAATATCAACAATGTTTCAAAGCAAGCAAAGGTAAGATCAAATCAAGTGACACAGACTTGATTTCATTCCTTGCAGTGTTTGGTCTTCTCTCAGTGGAACTGTGCCATTTGAAAGTGGTGAGCAAATGTATGGATCTCCAATGCCACTCTGAATATATTTTGTTTTCTTTGTTTTTGGATGTTATGTGGGGTGAGCCTGGTTAGAATTTGAAGATCACCAGGGAACAGCAGGAATCTCTCAATGCTGCAGAAAACCATGTCAGATCAGTTGCCAGGCTTAGCGCAAGGCTGGCTAGACCAGTGAACTGGCTAAGTATTAAGACAGCTTCCTAATTGCCTTCCTCCAGCGGTAGGCAGGATCCCGCCTGAAAAATCCCTCAGACAGCTGCTCTCCTCCGATCAGAGACCATCTGTGTGGTCAATTGTGCCATTCAGCTCAATCAACCTGAAAGATGCCCATGCACTTTAGAGTGAAGAGGCTTGGAGCCTCTTGGCCGCACTTCTATGGCGGGGATTGTCTGATGCCAAAGAGGGCAGCCATGCAGATGGAAATCAGAAACCACCCGTTCCTGGCCAGCCGCCAGCCTTGTTCAGCAAAAGAAGTGTTGATTTTCCATCTCAGCCACACCGAGCTCCAGCCAAGTGCGTGACAGACGGGATGCTGCAAAGCAGGCGTAAACATAAGAATTTGTCCAGTTGCAAAGTGCTTTTCTTTCTCTTCACTCTTCTTTCTTTCTTTCTTTTTTCAAAAGGCTTATCCAGAATCAGATTACTGCGAGAGGAGCCAAGTGTCTAGCTGACGCTCTCCAGGACAATACAGCTATTAAAGAAGTCTGGTAAGGACAGCCTGGTAGCTTTCCAACACGTGACAGCCACATTCGGAGAGCCCGCTGAGCTTTCAGCAACTTACTTTCAGGCAGATTCGGAGCACATGGAACAAGTGTCCTGAAAAAATATTAAAAAGGAGCATGCCAGTGTTTTCAGGGCCATCTCATCCATTGGATCACCCTACACTGACTGGTTGCCCTCCAGATGAATCGGATTATTTATTTATTTATGCCATTTATGACATTTATATGCCGCCCTTCTCATCCCGAAGGGGACTCAGAGCGGCTTACAAGATATATACATACAATATATGATGTTATTAGCATAGTATACTATCAGTATTAAACATTACTATATTGTACTATTATTTATTTATTTATTATTTACGGCATTTCTACCCCGCCCTTCTCACCTCCGAGGGCGGACTCAGGGCGGCTAACGCAGGCAGCATTCAATGCCGTAATATCAGTAACACAATATAAAAACTCATAATACATAGCAAATTAAAACAGTTACAATCAATTAAAATCACAAAAACACATAATCACACTAATCACAATACCATTACTATACCATTATATTATAATATTATTAGTAATATTACATGTAATATAAATATATAATTACAATATATTATTATTATTATTATTATTTGAAACACAATAAGATGAGTCCACAGCAGACACTCTGCAAGCTGTTGTATTGGATCACACGTCGGACCCTTACCAAGTGTCTAGGACTGTGTGGTGTATTAGCGAATAATGCATGCAGATCCCAGTAAGGTGGCCTTCTGCAGCTGGCAGATGGTAATTTTATCACCGCCGATTGTGTTTAAGTCGAGGCCAAGGTCTTTAGGCACTGTACCCAGTATCATATTATTATTATTATTATTATTATTATTATTATTATTATTATTAACAATATCATTTTATATCATATTATTATATTACTATATTATTATTATTATTATTATTACAATATCATATTGCATTACATTATACTATTATAAATATTATATGTATATACATTATATTAAATTATATATTATATTATATTTTAAGCATAGCACAGGAGACAAGGTGGAGCTGTCCCCTGCCCCCCCCCCCCTCGCTCTGGCCTAGAATGGCAGTTGGTGCTGGGGGGGGGGGTCCCCAGCTGATGACATTATCACTTCTATCATCTTCCACCAGTATGGGATAATGTGTGTCAGTATCCTATTGCATCTGGAAGGAATTTAGAGAGGCTGTAATAATATGAAGGCAAAGGCAGATGCCATTCAGATGTTGTTTGACTCCAGTTCCCAGCGTTCTTCACCATTGCCTGTGCTGGCTCGAGCTGCTATCACTTTCAGCCCAACATAATATAGAATGTGTTGTTGAAGGCTTTCAGGGCTGGAATCACTAGGTTGTTGTGAGTTTTCTGGGCTGTATGGCCATATTCCAGAAGCATTCTCTCCTGACATTTCAACCACATCTATGGCAGGCATCCTCAGAGGTTGTGAGGTCTGTTGGAAACTAAGCAAGTAAGGTTTATATATCTATGGAATGTCCAGGGTGGGAGAAAGAACTCTTGTCTGTTGGAGGCAAGTGTGAATGTTGCAATTGGCCACCTTGATTAGCTTTAAATGGCCTTGCAGCTTCAAAGCCTGGCTGCTTCCTGTCAGGGGGAATCATTTGTTGGGAGATGTTAGTTCGCACTGATTGTTCCCTGTATGGAATGCCCCTGTTTTTGAATGTTGCACTTTGTTTACTGTCTAGATTTTAGAGTTTTCTGGTAGCCAGATTTTGGTCATTTTCATGGTTTTGTTCATTTTCATGGTTCAACAGAAAGGAGAAAAGGATGAAAATGGACAACATCTGGCTACCAGTGTTTAAAACCTCTAAAATCAGGACAGTGAAAAAAAAAGAGCAACACTCAAAGACAGAGGAATTCTAGACAGGCTGGATGGCCATCTGTCGGGGGTGCTTTGAATGCAATTTTCTTGCTTCTTGGCAGGGGGTTGGACTGGATGGCCCATGAGATCTCTTCCAACTCTATGATTCTAGGAAACAATCAATGCCAGCTAACACCTCCCAACAAATAATTTCCCCAGGCAGGGAAGCAACCAGGCTTTGAAGCTGCTAGGTCATTCAATGCTAATCAAGGTGGCCAGTTGCAACATTCACACTTGCTTCTTTCTCCCACCCTGGACATTCCACAGAGACATAAACCTCATTTGCCTATTTTCCAGTAAACCTCACAACCTCTGAGGATGCCTGCCATAGATGTGGTTGAAATGTCAGGAGAGAATGCTTCTGGAACATCACCGTACAGCCGGGAAAACTCACAGCAGCTCAGTGATTCCAGCCATGAAAGCCTTCAACAACATATCCGAAGGTTGTTGCTAGCCTGCCATGAGCAGCGGGTGGAAAGTTCTGAGATTTTTGCACAGTCCTTAAATTTCTCACACACCAGGGATTACCTTTGCCTCTCCTTCCCAAAACAAACAGGCAGTGGGGAGGGCTCCCGAAAAGGAAAAACACACAGCTGACCCTGCTGAAACAGCGGCTTCATTTTTAATTTCTTTTCCCCCTTCTCACTTCCCAACAGCTTAAATGGAAACCCAATAAGCCAAGAGGAGGCAAAAGCCTTTGAAAATGAAAAGAGACTCATTTGCTTTTGAGAAACTTCTTTCCGGGTTGGACGGCTGTCGGGATGCCAAGGCTTATTTCAGCAGCGGCTGGAGCCAGAACGACTCCCAAAATCTGAACGGGATGTGCACTTGACTACAGAAGCATGCCTTTGACTTGTGGTAGAAGCGTGCCTTTAACTTGTGCCTTTGAACATTGCAGTCTCTCCTGGCTGCTTTTGTGGCATTTCGGATCACAAGCGCGAAAAAAGACATTATCTTAACCATTAACCATATATTTACTCCAATTTAAAGAATGTGTGTGAGGAGGGGGCAGGAGGGAACTTCCAGCTGTTGGGATCTTCATTTTTGAACTGGAACTGTTAGCATTAAAAAAAAATTGGGCCAAAGCATTCACCCTGAGTACCATATGAGTGTCACAATCTTCCACAATCTATTTTTGGTTCTCTTCTTTACTTTCATCTCCTTTCTTCTATGCTTACTTACTTAGGCGATCCCTTGTAGCCCAAGGATGATGGTCCTCCAAGTGTAGTGTCTTGGCGATGGGTCAGTAGGTGGCTATGGAGCTCTGAGTCGCTTTCGGGCTGAAATGGGTGGGATAAAAATGACGTAAATAAATAAATAATAAATATTCTTGATCCGCAGTGAAGACATTGGTTTCCAAGTGGAAGGCAGTCCTGGTCAGGGTTGGCTTGACACATTTTCCTCTTCACACCTTTTCCCCTTTCACCCTCCATTCATGCATCTTTGAATTCTGCAGCACTGCTGGTCACAGCTGACCTCCAGTTAGAGCTCTCAAGGGCTAGGGCTTCCCAGTTCTCTGTGTCTATGCCAGAGTTTTTAAGGTTGGCTTTGAGCCCATCTTTAAATCTCTTTTCCTGTCCACCAACATTATGTTTCCCGTGCTTGAGTTGGGAGTATAGTAACTGCTTTGGAAGACAATGATCAGGCATTCAGACAACGTGGCCAGTCCAGTGGAGTTGATGGTGTAAGAGCATTGCTTCAATGCTGGTGGTTTTTGCTTCTTCCAGCACACTGACATTTGTTTGCCTGTCTTCCCAAGAGATTTGCAGGATTTTTCGGAGGCAACGCTGATGGAATTGTTCCAGGAGTGCAATGTCTGTAGACAGTCCACATTTTGCAGGTGTATAGCAAGGTTGGGAGGACAATGGCTTTATAAACAAGTACCTTGGTCTCCCTACGAATGTCCTGGTTCTCAAACACTCTCTGCTTCATTTGGAAAAATGCTGCACTTGCAGAGCTCAGGCAGTGTTGTATTTCAGTGTCAATGTTGACTTTTGTGGAGAGGTGGCTGCCAAGGTAGCGGAAATTGTCAACATTTTCTCATGTTACACCATTAAGCTGTATTTCTGGTATTGCAGTGGGGTTGGCTGGTGACTGCTGGAAGAGCACTTTTCTTCTTTTCTATACTCTAGTTTGCTTTGTTGTTGCCAGTGCTAAAAATGTAGGAGCCTGTCATCTTTTCTAATCTACAGAAAATCACCTATAGATCTCTCAGTACAGGCATGTAGCTGGGGGGGGGGGGGGGTTGGAGGGCTTCAGCCCCCCCCCCCGAAATTCTCATGGTGGTTCGCGAAAAGGCCTTACTGGTGCATTATTTAAACTGTTATGTTTAATCATATCATGATCTGATCACCATACTCAATATATCCCATATGCATGGGGGTATTGGGGTAACGATACAAAAGGTTTGCTAGGGTAGACCCTCTTTCACTCAGACTCACCCCCCCCCCCCCCCCCGAAACAAACTCAGCCCCCTCCTCCCCGAATCAAAATCCTGGCTACGGGCCTGTCTCAGTAGATCCCATACTACTTCCACCCATCCAAAGATCATCTCCATCTGGCACAGTATTGTTTCCTTTTCCCAACAGCAAATCTACAAGAGGAGTTTTCCTCTCTAGCACTGCCTGCCATTGTTTGGGGTTGAACCCGGGGGGTTCAGCATACAAATCAAGTTCTTCTCTATGGCTGAGCTGTAACCCCGAACCACCAAACCACATTTTTGGGTCTGTTTTATGTGCACAGATGTAAATTAGTTGCTCTTTAGCCTATCTGAGGACAAGCCAGGTAACAATGGTTGGTTGAATATTCACAAGGCAACAGCCAGGCTGCCTACTGTTTTATTAAGAGAGCTGGCTTTACCTAGGTGTGCACCATCTGTTTCCAATCCCTTTGTCTTTTTCTTGCCATCAGCAGTGATACCTTGGTTTGATTTGCACAGACGGATTACGTCAACACTTGATTTCTCTCTGAGCTCCTGTTGACATTTACACAAGATGGGGGCAAAGTCTGAACTGAAGAAGAGCATTTGGTAGAAAAACAGTGCGGTTGCTATTTGAACATTGTATTTCAAATGGCTTGGCGGATACAGGAAAATCTGCAATTCTAGGTACACATATGAAAGCGGTGGTCCTCTACCATCAACTCCGCTGGACCGGCCATGTTGTCCGGATGCCTGACCACCGTCTCCCAAAGCAGTTGCTCTACTCCGAACTCAAGAACGAAAAATGAAATGTTGGCAGCAGGAAAAGAGATTTAAAGATGGGCTCAAAGCCAACCTTAAAAATTCTGGCATAGACACTGAGAACTGGGTATCCCTGGCCCTTGAGCGCTCCAGCTCAGACTCGGACTCACCCCCCCACCCCCGAAACAAACTCAGCCCCCCCCCCAATCCTGGCTACGGTCAGCTGTGACCAGCAGTGCTTCAGAATTTGGCAAAAGAGAGAAACATGCCAAGAGGAAGGTGCGTCAAGCCAACCCCGATCGAGACCGCCTTCCACCTGGAAACTAATGCCCTCACTGCGGGAGAAGATGCAGATCAAGAATAGGGCTCCACAGTCACCTACGGATCCACCAGAACACTGATCCTGGAAGACTATCCTGCTCGGCCAATGAGGGATCGCCTAAATGAAATGACATATGAAAACTTTGTGTGAAAGTAAAGATGAAGAGTGAAATGCATAAGAAGAATCCTTTGATAGGTCCTTTTGCAACGTGTTGACTGTGGGTGCTGAAGTCCCATTATATACAATGGCATAGTAAAATTGTGTCCCTTCTATAAAATGGCAAAATCAAAACTTAAAAAATAATGGAAAATTTTCATACATGTGGAAAAGTCCCTGTCTTTCAAGCCGAGCAATTTGTTGACTTGCAATGTACTCACAAGCAATCCAACATCTGTTGTTGAAGGTTTTCATAGCCAGAATCACTGAGTTGCTGTGAGTTTTCTGGGCTGTATGGCCATGTTCCAGAAGCATTCTCTCCTGATGTTTTGCCAAATCTGTGGCAGGCATCTTCAGAGGTTATGAGGTCTGTTGGAAACTAGGCAAATGAGGTTTATATATCTGTGGAATGTCCAGGGTGAGAGAAAAAACTCTTGTCTGTTTGAGGCAGGTGGGAATGTCGCAATTGGCCACGCTGATTAGCATTTAATGGCCTTGCAGCATTAAAACCTGACTGCTTTCAGCCTTGGGGAATCCTTTGTTGGGGGTGTTAACTGGCTCTGATTGTTACATGAAAAGAAAAATGGGTTCCCTTGAAAGTAAAGAGACCAGTATCCACTAATTGCAGTAATGCAAATGTATCCAAATATATAGAAACTCAATGTATGCATACAAATACAAATGTCAATAAAACATACGATTGTTACATTCACATTTAACGGATTGTTATGATTGTTACATGCCGGAAGTCCCCTGTTGTTTGAGCGTTGCTCTTTATTTACTGTCCTAATTTTAAGAGTTTTTTTTTAATACTGGTATCCAGATTTTGTTCATTTTCATGGTTTCCTCCTTTCTGTTGAAATTGTCCACATGCTTGTGGATTTCAGTAGGTTCTCTGTGTAGTCTCATATGGTGGTTTTTAGAGTGGTCCAGCATTTCTATGTTCTCAAACCTAACATCTCTTCTGATCGTGCATCTTGTGCAGAGTTGATGTGATCCATTTCAGTATTCTGGCAAGTTTGGCCCCAAACATTATGGGGAAAAAATATTGCAATGAATGCAATAATATCATGGTTGACCTTTTGCACAGCAGTTGGAAACAGACTTGAAATATTTCCATTTGACTGCAGTACACTTCATCTACAAATAATCAAATTGGTGAGAAGCTGGGGATCTTGTAAATAGACCTTCAGATTTTGAACTACAACTCCTAGAAGTCATCAACCAGCCTGTCCACTGATTATGCAAGGTTGGGTTCTGGGAATTGTAGTCCCAATTTTTTCAACCTCCATAAAGCAGGAGTTAAAGGGCCAACCTGTGAGTCTCCAGGACCTTTGACCTACAACTCCCAGAAATCCCAGCCAGTTTACCAGCTGTTAGGATTTTTGGGAGTCGATGGCTAAAACATCTGGGCACCCACAGGTTGAGAACTACTGACCTAGAGTGTGAGGAGTGTTGAGTGGGCTATCCTGAGCTGCCCACTTTCTGTCAAGCCCAGGCTAGCCAGTTTTCAGCTCAACCACAAGTCTCTCTTACAGCTAGGAAAATAAAACCCACTTCATACCCATACCTTTGTCCACTGGCTCACCAAGATCACAGCCTCTGCCCTTGTTTGGTAATTACTTTGAATGCGATTTATCTGCTTCTTGGCAGGAGATTGAACTGGATAGCCTACAAGGTCTCTTTCAACTCACTGATTCTATGATTCTAAGAGCCTTGGATACAATACTGGTACTTAACATTTCTGGACAACCAAGTAGTATTCTAGAGATAATTGACAAACAGTCAAAGATAGGAGATACCTGTGGCTGGGGTGCTTAGGTTTGCCAGAATAATAGAATCCTAGAGTTGGAAGAGACCTCATGGGCCATCCAGTCCAACCTCCTGCCAAGGAGCAGGAAGATTGCATTCAAAGCACCTTCGACAGGTGGCCATCCAGCCCCTGTTTAAAAACCTCCAAAGAAGGAGCTTCCACCACACTCCGGGGCAGAGAGTTCCACTGCTGAACGGCTCTCACAGTCAGAAGTTCTTCATGTTCAGATGGAATCTCCTTTCTTGTAGTTTGAGAACAAGGGGTCTCTACATTTTTCTGTCTATCTACAATTCCTATACCTAACACGATCTACATCCTTTGTCTTGCTGGTCACAGAATGCATTTGTTTCAAGTCGGTGTACAATATCCTCAGGCTTGGTGGTACAACATAGCTGAGATTACATGGCACGTGATACCATTTGCTGGTCCTTTCAGCACAGGCTTGTTGTGTCAAACTCCGGTTCCAGGCAAGAATTAAACCCATCAGGGGTTAAAACCGTATTTTGTTAAGAGTCACTAAGCCAAAGAGGTCTTGTTCATGGCAAAGGCAACTCCAATGATCCATTTAGAAATTATTTGGTCATCTAAGCATTGGACATCTTGGAAAATACGTCAG